CTATGGGGGGGGGCTGCCCCCGGGCATGCGGCTATGGGGGGGGCCGCCCCCGGGCGCGCAAGTGTCCCCGCCCCCTGGCGCCCAGCGGGCGAACGGACACGACCCCTGGCGCCCGAAAACCTCAAAAGGTTGGGGACCACTGATGTAGGCATATGCTAGCTGCTTTGCTATTATATTCTAAATAAAAGTGGTGTATTACCTTTTCCCCTAAAAAAACAAAAACCTGGTGTGCTTCTTATAGGCATAACATATTTGGTGGAGAATGTGGGCATACAAATTGGTATTTTGTAGTGGTTTTAAAATTTGGCTGGTGTTTTTATTATACCATTTTATGATATTATTGGGTTACTGGTAGGGATTTATGATTGGTTGGCAGGAAGTGAATTTTTTTTAAATATTGGCTTATGAAGAGAGCTGTATTTTTTATGACTGCTTTAACTATTTGGGCTTTGAAAGTTTTTAGAAGCAGACAAAACCAAACCTTACACTGGAGTTTTATTTTTTGTGAATTAAAAATTATGATGGTGAAGCAGTGCATCATGCTTAGGTTTTAGGAAGTTTTTTGGGAAAGAATTTAAACATTATTATTTATGCAAACAGCTTAATTTGCAAAACTTATTATACCCATTTTAGTACTCTATTTTTGTTTATACGATAGACTAATGGGCTTAGGCAATTTACTGAAGAACAGGGGCCAGTTTATTTTGATTTTAACACATGATTTTTTTGCTTTATTGTAAGTATATTACTTGATTTTTAGATTTTATAAAGCTGATTTTATAGCTTTTTTTTTGCAATTTTTAGTCTGTTTAATTGCTTGAGCATTTTTATATTGAAATGTAGTTTTGTTGTTTTGTAATTTCTTAAGCCATTTGAAATAATTTTGCTAAATAATTACAGGTACTTTTTAATTAGCTGTTTAGAGTTAATTATTAATTGCATGGATTGTTTAAACACATTTTGATATGGTTAAATTTATGTTTTCAGTTTATTGGTTTTGTGTTTTAGTTATGTCGTCTGTTAGACTGTATAGTGTAGATACGTTTGTGTGTGTTGATTAGAATGAAGGTCCATTGAGCCATATAGGTGTTAGCAACTTAACCGTACATTCTGCTTATAGTGATTAAAATATCTTTTTGGGCCCTGCAGTTTTTTAATTTGTGGGCTACTAGCACTAGTTTTTTTTAGCAAAGTAATTACATTATTAGCAGCCAGTCAGACAACAAATGTTTTTGACTTGTTAGGAAAGTATAAAACTGGAACCATGGCTTTAAAATATTTACTGTGGAATTTTGTTTTAGTAGTGCTTTTATATATTTTTAAATTATTTTGCTTGATTTTTTTACATACTATATTTAGGTGCACTTATCTGGGTTTGGAGGCAGAAGCTGACTAAAATTCGCCAATTGTTATTGATTTTGTTTTTAGTAACCAATATTTGTATATACTTTTTTTGGTAAAGTATGTACAGAGACTATGTAAGAAGTCATGTACAGATACTGAAGATATACTGGTAGAATCTGCACTGAGGTATTAGTCACCAACAGAGATTAAAAAATCCCTGATTTTCGGTTACAGAAAGTGATGTTTATTCACTGGCCTCCCATTCAGGTTGTAAATCAAGCATTAAAAGCCCACACAAAGGATGCCCATTTACGAAGTCAATGAAGAGAGGTGAAGTCAACAGGGAAGCAGCAGAGAGGCAAAACAAGCCACAGAAGGTTGGCCTATTTCTGAGTACTGAGTAATGAATGCTTAGTTAGATGTCAACTTTCTAGAATCACCAACCTTGTAGTTGCCCAAGGACTCTCCTTTGTACTATGCCAGACCTTACTGTGCCTTGCAGATTAACAATAGTTGCACTCTCATCCCAAAGCTGCTTTGAAGCATTCCACTGCGATAGCTAGCCCTTGACTACTCAAAGATATATTGTCTGATGTCCATGAGGGACTAGTATGCACACCAGCTTATAAGATTCAGATCAGGACCAGTATTTTACTTAAGAAAACAGCTCTGAGATATATTTATAGTGAAAACAAGACTAAGTTTATTAGCAAAGTCTAGAGATTCCAAAGAAGGCAAGTAAGAATACTGGAAACATGCAGTTACATAAAAACCAAATTCATAACATGCTTTCTGGAGACTAAACTTAACTATCAGATTAACCTCTTTTCTAACGAAGTTCATTTCACCCAAAATCTTTTGCAGTTTTTCAAACAAGGTTGGCTGGGATCTTGCACCTAGGAATTAAAACAGGCCATGGATTTACATTCCTGAAAAATGAGAAGGAAGATCCCATGGGAAGGCACAAGGTAGGCAGGCCTCTAGCGAAAGCTATGAACTGCCCTCAGTGGTACTGGAGATTCAGCAGACAGTAGTCCTCCCTGCAAATCAGCACTGAATCAATGCACAAGCCTGGCTATAAATATGCTTTCTTTATGAGAAAAGGTATTTTCAGGAAAGTAGTTCCTATGGAAAAACTTTCTGAAACCACTTTTTTACATACCAAGGCTTTGGAAAATAAACAGAGATGCAGAGTTTCAGTGGTAATGTCAAATGAGCACAAATAATCAGGGAGGTCAATTTAAACCCCTGCTTATGTACCGTTCACTACTCAGTGCTTGAAGTGGTCTCAATTCCTGCTTCCCCACAAGTTGCCAGGTCTGTCATTGTCCAAAAAAATGAGATCTTCTTGTAGGGCTGGCACAGCTTGTGAGCTTGTGAATATCTACTATACACTATACTGACTGTAATACTATTACTCTGAGGTGGGCAGGCAAGAAACACATAGGAAACCAAAGTGAAATCGTCTATATCAGCTCACTGAAAGCACTATGTGCCTACAGCACTGACACAGAGTTTTGATGGGACAGGCTCCCATGAGCAAACAGTATTACTAGGCATGAACCGACAAATCAAAATAGATTCATGGCCAACTTGCAATGCTCATGAACCATATTCCCAATCCTGTACATTACAGCACTCTGGGCTGGAACAAAAGAGCAGGACATTTAGGGCATGTCTACACAGCAGGGCTAAAGCCAAAATAAGCTATGCAACTTGAGCTACGTCAGTTGCGTAGCTGAAGTCAAAATAGCTTATTTTGGCTTTTGGCGCTGTCTACACAGCAGAAAGTCTAAGGTAGAGCACTCTTCCTCTGACTTCCCTTACTCCTCGTAAAATGAGAGTTACAGGAGTTGGAGTAAGAAGTCCTCCAGCTTGACATTATGTCAAAATAACTGCTGGTAGTGTAGACGCGGACATGTTATTTCAGAATAACAGTGTTGTATAGACATAACCTTAGAGAACTTACCCTGTGGATGGCTGATGCTGGGCTCTCTGTTTGTAAGTTAGGGAATATTGGCCCAGACTAAGCTACATCACTAATCTCTTTCCCGCAATCAATCCACCTCAGACCTCTACACTGTATTTGACATGGTCTGAAACCAAGCCCACCTTTATCTATTATATGGGGTTTTGTCATGGTTCTCCACATGGTTTCTTAGCCCCAAGGGGATTCAGGAACAAAGCACTTCAGCTGCATCATTCTAGCGATGTCTCAGCCAGTGCGCCCACATTTAAAATCCCTTCTGTATTTCTCTTAGAGAGAGAGATTTGCGGCAGAGACAATGATTCAGACTATGAACCAGGGATGGTTATAAAAGCTCTGCTGGTGCACAATATGTTCTTATTCTCACCTGATGACATGAGCAGCACAGCCTGGAGCAGGGCGACCTCTGTGTCATCGAGGTTAAATGAAGAAAGCGACATGCCCAGGTCGAAGATGGCATCAGACACTACGCCGAGACCCCCATTTTTCAGTTGGCCCCTTGTCACTGCCATCTCCCCATTTAATGTTAAAGTCTCACTTTCGGGGTCATAGCGCACTGCTGCTCGGAGGGACATAATCTCCATACAGCAGCCTTTCAAAAGGATGATCTGGTCTTCACATGGCAGCTGCAGAGATTACAAATGATAATAGAACAATCTGCACTAATCAGGGTTTTCAAGAAATCTTAGTTCTGAAACACAACAATATCCATGCACGGGTACTCTCAATAAACATCCACAGGTGTTAAATACACGATTAACAATTGAGTATGAATGACAAATCGCCAAAGCTAACCATCTAGTATCCTAGATGCATTAACAGGTGTGTTGTGAGCAAGACATGAGAAGTCATTCTTCCACTCTACTCTGTGCTGGTTAGACTTCAGTTGGAGTATTGTGTCCAGTTCTGGGCACCACATTTCAAAACAGATATGGAGAAATTGGAGAGGGTCCAGAGAAGAGCAACAAGAATGATTAAAGATCTAGAGAACATGACCTATGAAGGAAGGGTGAAAAAATTGGGTTTGTTTAGTTTAGAAGAGAGAAGATTGAGGGGGGACATGATAGCCGTTTTCAGGTATCTAAAAGGGTGTCATAAGGAGGAGGGCGAAAGCTTGTTCATCTTGGCCTCTGAGGATAGAACAAGAAGCAATGGTCTTAAACTGCAGCAAGGAAGGTTTAGGTTGGACATTAGGAAAAAGTTCCTGTCAGGGTAGTTAAACACTGGAATAAATTGCCCAGGGTGGTTGTGGAATCCCCATCTCTGGAGATATTTAAGAGTAGGTTAGATAAATGTCTATCAGGGATGGTCTAGACAGTATTTGGTCCTGCCATGGGGGTAGGGGACTGGACGTTATGACCTCTCGAGGTCCCTTCCAGTCCTAGTATTCTATGATTCTATATTTTGCCATCCCCTTGACTAGGTTCATTCTACCCAATTCCAACTGGAAATTAACATATCATATCATTATAATGAAGTACTAATCGGTCAGAGTTTCATAAAAACCTCAGCTGCAGTGAAGGGATCAGATTTTCAGAAGTGCTGTTCTCAATGAGGGCTGCTGTGCAGGTTTGAAAACCTAATCCAATACGTTTTCATAATATCACTTTCCATTTGCAAAGCATTTGATCAACTAGTTAATATTATCAACTGTTTCTTTGGTTTCAACAATACTGCACCTCTTACTTTCCTGACCCAGGAATGGGGGAGAAGGGGAGATTACACACGGGAAGATTCATAATTGTGGACTGGTTTTTAGTAAAAGAAGTGAAAAAAATGTCTCCATGGGAGATTTTTAAAAAAATGCCTAAATGAATGGTATTTGTGCTTCTTATTCCCTGAATCACTTTTGAAACATCCCCCTGTAATATTCTGGAAACCATCAATATCAGCATTTAATAAGGGACAATCAGCCAAATTCTACTTTTAGCTATCGGAATATAATGCAGGCCATGTCTACACTATGGAAGGAAGTCAACCTAAGATATGCAACTCTAGATATGAGAATAGCATAGCTGGAGTTGACATTCCTTAGGTTGAATTTCTACAGTGTTCCCACTGCAGGAGTTTGATGGGAGAAACTCTCCCGTCGACTTCCCTTACTCTTTGTGACCCACTGGAGTACCGGGGTTGACTAGGACACCATCAGTGGTCCATTTAGCAAGTCCGTATTAAACTCGCTGCATCAAACCTTGGGAGATCGATCTCCAGAGCATCAATCTCCAGGTAAGTGGGAACAAGCCCTCAGTTGCCTTTACTGGTGTTACTCCAATGTATGCTGGTGTGAACAACAGCAGAATTTGAATTATTATCTTTCTTCAAGGCATGTTGTTTCCCCAGGGCTTGCAAATGATGGGAAGGAGTGTACAGAGCAACTGGAAATTGTAATGCCAAAGATGGGGAACTCTTTGAGCAGGGTTTATTGAAAGGTTGTTCCTGAATTGCTACATTTAGGTTGTATGTATGTTATTGCTAGGGTGCCTGCACAGTAGGAATAGGTGCCCCTTTTATCATTTCTAGAAATCTGTCTAGCTATAGAAATATATGATAATGAAAGAAGAGTGAAATTTCCAAGACTGTTTTGAAGATATCACTGTAAGTCAACAGCAAATGTGACGTACATAATTATGTGACAATGAAGCTAAATCCAAAATTGGGTTCTAGAAGGGAGAAAATCTGATTCTGATTCATGTCAAGATATTATGTTGGTTTTTTTACTTTAACCATTTCCCATAATCCTGAGGGAAACATGCCATTGGCCAAGGGATACTGCTGGGTTAAATAGGGTCCAAAGAGTAGGTTTTGTAAAAAATAAGGTTTTTTTTACAAATAAACTGAAGACCAATAAACATGGTTCCTTGACTTATTTTTTTAAATGACAATTTTGTTTTTCTTAAAGAAACAAACACCCTAAGTGCATGTAGTAGCCTGCATCCTTTAGCATATCATGGTGGGATCTGATGGAAGTCGACAGAGCATTCTGAAAAGTCTTAGGGGCTTGTGTCTTTTGACTGTCTTTCCCCTAAAAAGGGGGAGAAAGGTGGGCATAGAAAGCACGTGACCTCCTAGCGGCTGGAGCCCAGTGCGCAACAATGGAAAATTCCTTTCCTCCATTCGCTCCTAGCTCTATTCTTCCCCATCTCTACTCTTCCATGCCTGTCCATTGCTCTCTTTTTTTACTCTCTCCAGTTCTTACCCTTCTTTTCCATTCATAACTGCTTCCCTATTTTCTCACCTATCTCCTTATTGCTGGGCAGGACTTGGATACGACCTGTGTATGCAATGAGCCAGCCTGACAGACCTGGCTTCCTCCTAGCCTGCATGGAGTGTGGGCTTTCCAGGCTGCAGCTGATGTGGGCAGTTTTATCAGGACGCTCCTCTTCCAGCAGCAACATATGCCCAGTAGAGACTGGGGCTTCAGCTCCAGGGGGATGTCTAGACTGCATCTCTCTGTTGGCAGAAGGATGCAGATTAGGCAGGTCGACATTGCAAATGAGGCAGGAATTTAAATATCCCATGCCTAATTTGCATACAAATGGCCGCAGCATTTTTGTCAGCAAAAAGTCTCAGGAGGCATAAGGGATCTGTCGAAAAAGGCTTTCTTTCTCGACAGATCCCCCTCTAGACTGCCACTTTTTGCCGACAAAGTGCTGAGTTGGCAAAACGCGGTGGCCATTTGTATGCAAATTAGGCACGGGATATTTAAATCCCTGCCTCATTTGCAATGTCAACCTGCCTAATCTACATCCCTCTGCCGACAGAGGGATGCAGTCTAGCCATACCCCAGTTGACTGTGAATGATGAACTCCTATCATTGTGCCCCCGATGGCCACAGAAGTGAACTTGGCTGCTCACAAGTTGATTTGGGGACTGAAGTGACCTCAAATTGCATTGGCAAAACTCTTAGGCAAACTGGGGCCATTGACAACTGTGATACCATGCCACTAGCCCCTGAAACTGGAACTGACTAGCAGCTTGCCCAGGCTATTTTCATTATCCTAACTGAAAGAAGTGCAATAGGGAAACAATAAAAACACTATGTGCATTACCTCTTGCAGCAAGCAAAGGCATGAGGGAAAAGGCTGTGGACCTTCCTTGTTCTTTCTTTTCTGCAGAAATTAGCTGCACTGTAAGCTCCAGCCCCAGGACTGTGATTGTGTCTGAACTTTGTGCAGGGATTTATAGGGGAAGGTAATGTTTTTCCTCACAAACTGACTCATAGCCAAAGTCTGGCCCATGCAGGGTTATGTGTAACCGAAGTAAAGAAATATGTATTTTTAAACAAGTAAAACGTTTTAGCCAGGCTATGCCCCTTTTAAATAAGTACTAACGTTTGCCATTTCCATGTCTTTATTCCACATCTGTGGCCACATGAGAAGGCAGCTCTCCCCGTCCTTGTATTCACTGTTAATTGTTTCGCATTCTATTGTCAGATACTGGTGTCTGCAGGAATAAAGTTCAAAAGATGGCTCAGCTGCTAGGAAGGCCTGACCTACAAAAGTGTGTAGCACACAAAGGTCATGTCCCACAACTCCTGACTCATTTTCTTCATTCCTTCCACTTGCTTCAACTGTGAAGCATGTGGGCCCTGTGTGGCCAGGAAGGGTCAGAGATGTCAGATGGGCACTGCAGTCTGTTTTCTGATGGACTAGGTCTGATCATTAAAAAGACTGCCCTGGAATGTCCCTGCAACTTTTCCCTGCAAACAGTAAATTGATGCAGAAAACTCTCCCCCTCAAACACTGGAGAGCTGCAGGCGCCTCCTTTGTATTTTAAAACCTTCATACTTGACTGTTATTTCATGCTTTCCTGGCTGACAGAGCCAATCCTCAGATTCGCTAGGGGGAGCTATATACATTGCGCCAGTTACTGATACTTACTACATCGTTTTGTGGGTGCCAGAGGAGGCAAAGGGGATTACCCAACATATCTGCTCTCCTTGACTAACCTTAAAGATTGAGCTGTCAGCTAGCAAAGAGTGCAATGATGGGCCTGCCTTTCACTCCTCCCCAGACTTATGTTCAGTCTGTGGAGGAAGAAGTGATTCCCATGGCTGGATTTCAGATGATCTCCTTGAGTAGGCTCATTGTCATTTTCAAGGTCATTCTCTGGACATATAAACAGTGAGGTCAAGTGCTGTTCTGCAGGAAGGGAAAGTAAGGAGGCTCCGCTGCTGCACAACTTCCAGGGTTGTGGATCCCAGGAGACTCTCAAATATCAAGGTTATTTTCCAGTCAGTTCAGCCCAGAATTAACATTTTTTAAAGTAAAGAGAACATCCATTTTCTACTGCTTTCAAATTTACATTCATTCCCAATGTGCACCAATGTGAGATCAAAATAGGGCCTACGCATGCCCTAATTACACTAATATTTCATATTAAATATTCCTCTCACAGTGTGTCATACATTTGAATATCTTTATGGAGTGAAGCATTGTTAGTTGCCTCCACTCTCTTGGAATGTCCATCAGACTTACATTTTACTTGTGATAATGTGTGAGGGGACAGATTGGGGCCTGGGGTTTTGCTGACATCCCATCCAGTACAGATGAACCAGTGAGAGAGGTGTCTTAGTCCTGGATTCAGAGAGGCACTTCAAACACATGCTTAACAGGAAGGCACTTAAGTAAATGCTTGCCTTTAGGCATGTGCTTAAGCACTGCTGGGTTAATGGACCTTAAGTATTTTCTTAAACTTATGTAAGTGCTTAAGTGACTTTCCTTAGGAAGATTTATTGAATTTGCCCAAACAAAACCACAAAAATGAGGATTTGATTCATCATAGGGAACAGGAAACTAAATGACACCAACATTATATTATACTGTCTATTTTTGTTTTTAATTCTCATCTGATTTAAACCAAAATGAATTTATTGGTAAGGTCTTACCTCTTCACTTCATTCTTACTTGGCTCAGGTCAACAGGAAGTGGAGGGATTTTATGAGACTCAGATATAATTTTATGTATTTTCATGTTACATTGATACTAATTTTTATTGTTTCTCTTGAGAGTTGTGTTTTGAATGGTATGGAGCAAAGCAAGAGAAAAATGTCTTACCTCACAAAACATAGGCAACTTTTTGGCAAAATCCACCACTCTTGTAATTGCTGGTGTAATAATTTTTGTAAACTGGCTGAAGGCTTCTAAATCCACTTTTCCACTTTCTGGGGCATTAACCATTGGTGCTTGCCCAATATCTTCAGGCTAAGGATATTAAGAAATACATTAAAAGAGAAAATTTGTTTCATTCAAATAATCTTTGTAAATTCTTATAATATGGTAGGGATTATATATAAAGTCTAGCACTCTGTTTCTATGAAATTAAACAATAATATTAACTATTATTTATGTAGGACCTATAGAGGCACTGTCTCTAAAACAGGCCATAAAATGTGCATCTGTCTGTAAAATAGTGATTACATAAATAAATGGGTGATTAGCATACCACTACCCATTTTGTATGGGCAGCTGCATATTTTACACATGCATTTGCCTGCTTAGTCTAGGCACATATCATGAGGGAAGTTAAGGTGTTTCTGCATGGAAATTTAGTACTGATCCTACTCTCTTCTACTGTTTAGCACTCACACTGTCCCTTGAAACCAATGGACATTGAAGATAGTCATTATCTTCTACAAGATGCTCGGCACACAAAGGATTGTGCTCCTTGGCCTACCCAGTGTTACAATGTTATAACATCACAAAGAGTACAAGCCAAACACCAAGCCTTATTTTCAGAGCTGAGCTAACATGATTGGGACTGAAATGGGAACTAGTTTGGATCAAATAAAAACTCCCTGAACAGTTGCTCATTTAGACTGAAATTTGTTTCTCTGCAAGCTTCAGCACAAGACTTATGCAGAATGTAAATCCTATTTTGAGGCTTTAAGTGGGGTTTATATGATGTGCATGCTTTAAACTGAAACCCTGCACGGGGTGAATTTCCCCCCAGATATATTTAGACTTACATATTTTGTTCCAAAACTTCAGAGGGGTAGCTGAGTTAGTCTGTAATAGGAAAAACTTAAAAAACAACAAATAGTCTAGTAGCGCCTTAAAGACGAACAAAGAATGTAGATGGTAAACTCATGATACCATCTACATATTTTGTTAGTCTCTAAGGTGCTACTAGGCTATTTGCTGTTTTTTATATTTTGTTCTGTTTAACCCCACCTCTACGTATTCAAGGCTTTGCAATTACAAAAGACCTGCCAAACTATAAGTGAACAGAGCATTTTGTTCACATTACTAAGTTAAAAATTGTACAGGAGTCAGAGAAGAACTCCTTCAAGACTTTCAAGGTGTATGAAATTTACTGAAGTCCCTTTGAACAGGGGTGGAAACTGCTATTTGAATCATATAAATAATATGGGCTTAGGAATTTTTTTTAAAAGCAAAATGTCAAAGATTTTCCTACAGTTCTGCCATCAGTCAAAGTCAAAATCTAACTTCCTTCAGAAGACAACTGGTGCTCTGTATAGAGCACATAAGCATCTGATTTGGAAAGAATTAGGAAAACCACATGCTATGTAACCCAACATATTAATGCAATTGAGGTTAGGGGGGGAATTAGTACACAGTATCCATGCTCTTGCCCTTTTAAATCAAATCAAATCAAATCAAATCAAATCACAAACTTTGCAAGATAGTAATTTCAAAAACAACTGTGTCACTTTTTTGCTTTATTCTCTGTCTTTGTGACTATTCTTTTTGTGTTATCTTCATTATGTCCTCACACAACAGTGTGTGACTGTACATATAGAAATGTGTGAACCACAGTTTGAAGTAAGTAAATAACAAAAAAAGATCAGTCGAAAATAGAAAACTCTCTGTAGTGGGTTTAGCAATAGCTCAAGATTTGTGCAGCGGAGTATGCTGTCGGTGTCTGTACTCACGGATAACCAACTTGGATTGAGGTAGGTTTCCCTTTAATTTGAAGGCTTTTGGTATTTATGACGTAGGACTTTAATTGCTCTTGTGTGCTTCAGGAGTGTTTAGTATGTTGCATTAATTTCCTTTACAAATCAAACTCAGCAAAATAATCAAAAAATGAAACAAACCTTTTTTAAGGGCCAAGCATCAAAAACGTCTTTTTATTCTCTAGGCTGAACCACAGAGATAGATTATTTAATAGACGGAACTTTACCTGAAAAGCTCCCCAGGGACCTTCTATATTTTGCAATCCCAGTGATGCAGTATATGTATTATCCTGTTTTTGCTAAAATTAAATCCTTCTTCCAGCATATTATTTTGGTTTAAATAAATGTATTCATTTTAAAAAAGAGGTTAATAAAACCAAATTTAAAAAAAATCTGATTTTTGAGTTACCTGAAAAAATGGTTTTTATTCACAACATGAAACCATGTTGGACATCAATCCATACTTGGACAAATGTACATGCACACGCAGAGACATTATTTATATTATGGGCTCCAGCGTACAAGGAGTCCATAATATAAAGATATACTTTTTATTTTTCCTTGTTCTACCAAAACAGTGGGATCCAACTGCTTTGTCAGTTACTCAGTATCACTCTGCTACCTATTGTAGTTGTATAGTTTGATCAGCTGACCAGAAGTTGGCACCCACTAATTATGAAGGTAAGATGTAAAACTCTGCAAATCTGCAGATATCCACTTTATATCCATGGGTATCCACCTCCATTGATGTGGATGGGGATAGCCACAGATCATTTTTTCAGATATAGATGTGGATTCGGATACACATTTTGTATCTACAATTCTGCAAATCCACGGATGTCAATGCCCATTTTATATCTGCGGGTATCCACATCCGCGGATGTCAATGCAGGCTCATATCCACGGCTCATTTTTGCAGCTATGCATATGATTTTCATACAGATTAACCAGTCAAGAAACAAATTTGAAGGAAAACCCTGCCCGGGGATGATAGTGCTGGGAAGAGGTTCATGGGGGAATAAAATAATAAAAGAAAAGAAACTAGCAAGAAAAGTAGAGTAAAAGACTATAGTTCCTACCAGAAATTTCCTTTTTTGTTTCCAATGACTTCCTTGTGCATTGGTGGCCACATGTGCTTCAGTGACAATTTTGATCAGCTCCCATTCTTCATCTGTTGGCTCGGGTTTGTGCCCAACTGTTTTTTGTAGCTCCTCCCGACGCCTTTTCTCTCGGTTTTCTTCTATCAGCTTCCTTTTTGCTAACCGCTTGCTGTCATCCAGCACCACTGTCAGCAATAAACAACAAAATAAAAAGTAACAAAATGGAAGGCTGCTCTTGGGCTTGTCCGAATTTTAGTCTGACCTGCTGAGAGAACTATAAACAACTCAACAAGGCAATTGATGAAGAGGTCTATCAGCCAGCCTAGTAGAAAGCATGGCTAGTCTTTCTTACCCCACACTTACTCTTGTTAGATCCTGAATGATTTACTTACATATGTGCTTAGCTTTATGCACTGAGTAGTGCCACTGTCTTCAGTGGAGTCCTATTACTCTTAATGGGACTGTTCACAGACTGTAAAACTATACAAGAGTGAGAGTAAATTCATTGGACCCCCCCGCCCTCTCCCATCTACTTGTTAGTGTATTCCAAGAAAGGGGTCTTTTTTTCCTTCAGAAAGAAAATTAAAAAAAAAACCATTAAATAGCCAAGCAAATGCTCATGTTACAGTCTCATAAACTGAGATGGAGTCAAATGTGAAGTAAGAATATAATAGTGTAAAGGTAGACAACGCTCTGTGAATACACCTAGAATATTATTTGGTCATGTAAATTTAAACCACTAACAATTCCCCTCACGCATATTCCTGTCGTTTATTATTTTCTGTTACTAGTGAGACATCAGTCAGCCATAGAGATGGAACACCTCTGTTTATCGACAGATAGCAAAATCCTCCTTCCCCTACTCACGTGAGTTGTCCCAGTTAAGAAAATTGAACTATTCAAGTTGCCAAAGAGAGCAAGCTTTGTCCGTATCAGGTACCGCACAGGGAGCAGAAATGCTTCCCGTGCCTTGTCCCAGTAACATAGAACAGTTCGGAACTGGAAAGTTCACCTCTGCTGGTGGAGGGAGAGTTTGGCTGTTGTGCTCGTTCACTCCTCCATATGTACTACCAGCTAATGGTGGGTTTGACATCTGTCAGCCGGAACTAAAATGTGATTA